TTTTTTAATTGGGTATRTTACTCAACAAAGTTAAAACCAATAAAGCGAATCACCATTAGAAATATGATCACACAAAGACAAGTGGCTAAAAATAATTTTGAGAGAAAGACACTTCCCCCAGCTATAAATGAATATTCGAGTAATCCGGTCATATTTATRTCAATACTTTGTGCCATTGTCGCTTAGTTGTCGTCATCAATTCTTTAACACCGTCAACWYTAGTATTTACAAATTTAWCCAAAGGTRTTGTCGCTATTTCTGGAACAGAAGTCGATAGTCTAATCCWTGTCAAATTAAAACAAGCCGTCTGGCAAAATCTAGAGACGGACTCTTAGACCAATGGCGCCGGGAAACTTGTATATGCAATGTTTATAGTATCAACACTGTGATATATAATAGTTTAGAGATCAACGGATTGGCAGCAGTTTTCCTRATCAGAAATGTAATAGCGGAAGTTTCTAAGAGACCTTATTACAAATACGGTCGCCATCTTGAATTTCATTTTGGCTCTTTCGTGTTAAATACTATGTCTTTTCTAGGGAAAATTCCTCTGAAATAATGCTAAATTATAAAATTGTACTGAATTATACTAATTCCTTTGTTTTCTATTGTCTAATTTACACTATATNTATTCTATGGAAGCGTCCTCCAACTCAAGCCAATACATCCGAGATTGAGGTTTATATCTAAGAAGCGTCAGAACCATACAACATCAGATTATACTCGCCGGGAGAGATCTTTAATCCGTTTGGCGTTAATTAAATAAAAGATGCGATGTTCATTACAACTGTTAAGGCTGTAAAATATAGATTATATTAATGGATGAAGTAATAAGTTTGTTTATAAATGGAGGCGTTTTAATGAGTTCTACTTCGTCAAAATGAAAATTACATTGATTTAATTAATTATACTTGAATTTATTATTTTTTGTACTGTAATACCAGACAGTCTGATTAAAGTCCATTCACAAATAAATACATATATCACACAGAGAGTGCCTGAGGAAGGGAGGAACGAATAAAAGAAGATATGTYTTTATAACARCGACGAACATTTGTTCAAATTGATATAATACCCCTRGGAAATGTCCGCGTTCWRACAAAGTCACCAMACCTTSCAACRGAGMGCGCTCAAAGTATTTCCTCCAAAAATTTGTTTGTTTTTTTGTAGAGACATCCTATTTTCTCTTTACTTTTGATTGTAATATTCAATATATTTTAAATTATTATTATTATTGAAAATTGAATTCTTTTCAGAGCTAGATGCAATGACGAAAATTTCAAAAAGAAATGGCATTTGTAATYTGAAAACGCGTTTGAATCAACAATTAATAAGTCGTCTCTTCATGGGTGATCGAGAATTTGATAAAGCAAATCAGGAAAATTTTTGCCAAATTTCTCACTAGTTCAAATGTTTTGCCCAAAATTATAAAGAGTAAATTATAAACACAATATATAGATTTTCAAGCACTGTTATAATGAACAACCAGTCTAAACAAATGTCGAGGTATTTTAACTTGATGGTCCTTGAGACACCTTTTTTATTTGCAAAGCGCGAATTTATTCTAAAAATGCAGCTTGTGACAAAGTAGAAAAACAGAAAAATAACGGACGAATTGAAAGGATATTTTTTTTTAATCTTAACTGCAAACCAACATGCAAATTTGTTTTTATCTTAATAGAAAATTGTCAATTCTTCACAATTCTGAGCCTCTATATAATGTATTTCTTTCCTTTATGTATTTTTATGTGAAATATTTCCGTTTAAGTGCTTAAAATTGGGCTTCTAAAAGCACTATGCTATCATCATTAATAAAAATTACAGTTATAAGCTTAAACATAATAACTGAAATGTTTTCCCACCCGGGAGTTCTTGCGTGGCAGATAGCTATCATACTGTTTTAGACCTATACTTAAAAATAATTATTTTCATAATTCAAAAAAACATTGAACATGCTTAGAAACGATCAGAAATTGCAGTTCAAAACAAAAAAAATAGTCGCAGCAATGTTTGAATTCTCTTAGTTTCCAGGCCTAATGAAAAACAGCGGAAGCCCAAACACACAAGGAACCCAAAGCGTGGATTTCACTAGCGCATAAGCATAGGCATAAGCACGAAGCTCGAGAGTCATATGTGCCAGTGAGAAATACGGGCTCAAAACAAGCATAAGCATGAGCACAAGAAAAACGAGCAAGGCTTGATCTTCTTGTGCTTATCTCATGCTTATCTCATGTTTATCTCATTGAGAACGGGACTGCATAGGCATAAGCATAGTCTGGTACCGAAATAATACGCTCGTGCACATGCTCAATGTCTTATGCTTATGTCGAGCCCGTTCTCACTGACGCATATGATTCTCATGATTGTGCTTATACTATGCTTATGCGCTAGTGAAATCCACGCTCAAAAGACAACTGTTTTATGCATGAAAATGCGCAAAGATGTCCATTCACAGGGGCGGTTCCAGGATTTTCTTCAGGGGGGGTGCGGGTCTCTCAGGACGGGGTGCACCCCACAAAAATCATTACCATGAAGATGCAAATTAGTGAGGAAAGTATTGGAGGATACAGATCTCAGGAGGGGGTGCGCACCTCCTGCACCCACCCCCTTGATCCGTCGCGTAGTGTTCATCACTTTCGATTTATTTGTCTGCGGATACGTTTCGTCACATATGATAAAAATTCTTGGCTTACACATAACGGTATAAGCGACAAGTCGAATGAAAAAATAGTTTATTAATAATATTTTTCGTGGTGATTATTATTCAACGTGATTTTCTTGAAACTATACTCTTTGTCCTTTTTTAAATAGAACCAAGTTTATTGGCATTTGCGAGATAGTGGAAAAAACTTGAAAAAAACTTTCTAACGTACTTCCTTATAAGGTANTATGTGCCAGTGAGAAATACGGGCTCAAAACAAGCATAAGCATGAGCACAAGAAAAACGAGCAAGGCTTGATCTTCTTGTGCTTATCTCATGCTTATGTCATGCTTATGTTCAGTGAGAACGGGACTGCATAGGCATAAGCATAGCCTGGTACCGAAATAATACGCTCGTGCACATGCTCAATGTCTTATGCTTATTTCGAGCCCGTTCTCACTGCCGCATATGATTGTCATGCTTGTGCTTATGCTATGCTTATGCGCTAGTGAAATCCACGCTCAAAAGACAACAGTTTTATGCATGAAAATGCGCAAAGATGTCCATTCACAGGGGCGGTTCCAGGATTTTCTTCAGGGGGGTGCGGGTCTCTCAGGACGGGGTGCACCCCACAAAAATCATTACCATGAAGATGCAAATTAGTGAGGAAAGTATTGGAGGATACAGATCTCAGGAGGGGGTGCGCACCTCCTGCACCCACCCCCTTGATCCGTCGCGTAGTGTTCATCRCTTTCGATTTATTTGTCTGYGGATACGTTTCGTCACATATGATAAAAAKTCTTGGCTTACACATAACGGTATAAGCGACAAGTCGAATGAAAAAATAGTTTATTAATAATATTTTTCGTGGTGATTATTATTCAACGTGATTTTCTTGAAACTATACTCTTTGGCCTTTTTTAAATAGAACCAAGTTTATTGGCATTTGCGAGATTGAAAAGGAGACTGGGAAAGAGTATGGAAATAGTCTACAGAGCCTCCCCACATTAGACCACACATGTTCTATGTTCAAGAAGAAGAATTCTCCAAACAAATATATGAACAACGACAATCAATCTAATATTTTTGGTATTCCCTCTTTTTGGCGTCTACTACACTGAGTGAATATGAGTGCTTTGACATTTTTATTTATTTTGGATTTATCACCGAAAAAAAAAATATTCGTTTGTCATATAAAAAATCGTCATACAATGCTACCGCAGAAATTCATTTTCCCAGCATTCTTTTCAGTCTTTAGAAAATTTGTGTAACACCGCTGAACACAAATGGGACGCAGCTGTAATAATCTCCCATGACGTGCTTTATGACGTAGTCATTGTAAGAACAAGCATCGGAACTGTTTATAATATAAACTTAGAGCATTCATTGTGACTAAATACGGGTTGTATAAATAGCATCATGGAATTGCTYAAAGAAAAAATCTTTAAACTAAAAAAAGACGCAGAAAAGTCAACCCTTCAAGCGGAAATACTTGAACATAAATTGTCGGCTGAAAAAGACCGCTTCGAAAGAGCCGAAGAGAAACTCGCTTCATTAAGTAAAAAAATTCAAAATACTCAAATCGAGCTAGAAAAGACGGTTAATGAAATTCAAGGTAAAGAAAAGGAAATCGAGAAACAGAAGTTTACTTGTGAAGCTAACGAGAAAATATCTGATGAATTAGCTGAAGGAGAAATGAAAAACACGGAAGACGAACAAGAACTGAAGCACCAAGTAAGTATCATTCTTTATAGGCATTTTTTTTTATTCTTTAAAATGTTGAATATATAAGACTTCAGTTTTTGAATTMATATRCGAGGTTCATGATTGCTGCTGTGTAAAAATTGACGACTTGTCAACTGTATTATAGCGAAACTGACTTTTGAGCTCATGAAAAATAAATTTTATGCATTATAATGAACTCAAAATATTTGGTTCTTTTATTTGCATCACATTTTTTTAGAAGTCAATTCCTCTAAGTTGAATTTTATCATAATCTTTGATSAACTTAATATTAATCTGGACGTCAAATTTTATTAAATAATTCATTTAATCTCATATTTTTCTTATACAAGGCATAAAATACTGAAGATCTAGGTGATTTCTTTGAAGTTTGCTGTAATACTTTTAATTAAAATTATGAATAGTTGGAATTCTAGCCCTCAATGTATATGAATAATGTATTGTCTCATTTGCATGACAACTAGTTACAGACCTTAGTCATGATCAATAGCTAGAGARTGCCTTTACATCTGTAAGGTAATAAGTAACAGTTGAATCCCTTGAATATATTTAATATTAAATAAGCTTTGAATCACCATTGCTCTTCATGAACGTCATTTTTTACTGAGGGGAGATCCATTAGAATTGTGAGAGGGGGGAGAAGAAGAGGGGTTGAAAGATTTTGGAAAAAAATTCCTGCACTTCCTGAAGGACCGACAAAAATCCCTGCAAGGCAAAATTTTGAATAATTTCCACAGCTGGAGCTTTTGTMAATTTACAAAAAAAATTACAAGCGCTCTCCGAAAGCCCCCCACCCAAAAAAAATTCTTGCATGGAGTGCAAAATCTTCCAACTCCGAAACTCGGGCATTTCGCTGTGATAGTTGCGCTTAGAATCTTGATGTTCCTCAAAACTTTATAGTCGACCTCAAACTGCGTTAGCTTGCGCTCTCGGGCGCGACTATTTGCTTTTCGGACGTACAGTTAGCCCTGGCAACTATCACAGCATAACTGCCTCGATTCAACGACTCTATTGCTTAATTAGAGCACATAGGGACGAAAAAGGACGACATTTATTTACCATTTGATCATACTAAGTTTCTGATTTTCTAGATCAAAGATTTGAATGACTTCACGAATATTGTACAAATGGAATATGAAGCAACGCTGAAAAAAATCACTGCTATGATAAAAGAGAAAACACGCCTTGAAGAAGACGAGGAGCACTTGTGCGCRCAAGAGAGCGTCTTRCAAGAAAAGCTGCAGGATTTCTCAGCGAARKTCAAGAATTACAAAAATGMAGCGTMTAGAAAAAATAAGCAAGGAAGYCCCGAGAAAAGATGTTCTTTGTTGAAGCAAAGGTTGCAGAAAGCCGAGTTGATCTTAGAGAATACAKACAGGAAGACTCAAMAGCTTGAGAGAACACTGTGCATGYTGGGAAAAGAKCTACAAGACATCAAATCAAGTCAACAAGAAGCTGATATGGAGTTGCAAGGAATTTTGAGCATTGCTCATGAGAATTAATAAACAAACTGGTTTGTATACTTTTTATATTTACAAAGATTGCTCTGCTCTGCTCTGCTCTGCTCTGCTCTGCTCTGCTCTGCTCTGCTCTGCTCTGCTCTGCTCTGCTCTGCTCTGCTCTCGATCGAGTTTTACGCTTTAAAGAAACTCAACTCAAAGACAAGTGGCCTGTGTGAATTACAGATTGTGAACAGCGGAAACTGCATTTATGGCTATTGCTGCTAATAGCTTTGCAGATATCTACCATGTTCGATAAAATGCTGACAGTTTGCTGATGCGTTTAATACTTTATCTACATGCCTCGACTGATACAGGAAAATCTGGTCAATTCTGGTCATTATATAACTTATAATTTCAAAACTAGAAAACTCATTTACACGCATACGAGAATTGACTCAAGTCTTCCTCAACCAGGACATTAATTTGTGAGATCTAAATCAGAAACCTCATCATATAGATCCATCTTTGATTCCAACCCAGCAACTTGGTTCTCTTTATTCTCGTCAAGTTCTTTTCGCTTTGGCTTCTCCAGCAGCAGAT